CAAGTTGCTGACATTTTTACTAAGCATTTAGGCTTTCAGTCTTTTCATCACAACATCTGCAAGATGGGCATGATGAATATCCATGCCCCTCTTGAGGGGGGGTGTTAGATTACATAAGTTGCTTATTAGAATTGTATTTAGGTTTACTTGTATTTAAAGTAGCACTTTTACATGACCAGCACGCTTTATTCCTTTTCCACTTTACATTAGGTTTTGTTGTACACAAACCCTTGGTATAAATACCAAGATTGCACTGTACATACATACTTTTTCCTTTCAAGATTTTTGCAGATTTATTTTCTCTCTCTCTCTCTCTCAGGCGATTCATCGTCTTCATCTATCTGTTCATCTTCAATTCTCGATCTCTGTTCAAATCAATAAACTAACAAAGACCATAAGATCTTGACATGTGGCTGGTGAATACATCTTAATATATCCATGATGGATATGTGAGAAAAACATTTTGTCCACTAAAGATCACGAGATCTTGACACGTGGTTGGTGAGCACATCTTAATAAATACACAGTGAACATGTGAGAAAAACAGATGTTGTAAGATAGGAATTTTTATTAGTTGATATTTGAGATTCTTTTTTTTTTCAATTAATTTGTGTGTGTGGTATTATTTCTGTGAAATGTATATTTAACTTTTTTTTTGTACCATTTTATTATTTTCTAATTTTTATGTAAACTGTTTATGAGTATTTCAGTTGTTTTATTTCTATTGTTGAGTTTGGTACGCATATAGACTAGTCTTATAACTTATTTGATTAGCTTATATGCTTTATGTATTCAGATAAGTTTGATATGGCAGAACGAGCTTTTTAAAAAACTCGAACTAATTTCATAAGCTTTTTTTAGGTAGCTTTTCAAATAAGCATATTGAAATTTTTATTTGACCTAGCTCACAACTAATTTTACCAAAACACATTTATCATATAAGTTAGTTTTTCAGCCATAAGTCATAAGCTATCAGCTATAAGTTTTAAGTTTACTTAAAAACTATAAACGCCATAAGTCACATAAGGTCTCGGCTATAAGCTCGAAATTCAATTGAAAAGCTAACTTATCAGCTAGATTTACCAAACATAGTCCATATCGATAACACAATCACTCAAATTCTCGAAGACTAATTTCAATTTTCAAATCAAACTATATATTCGACCGAAGTTAGATTAGCACAAATAATATATTAAATTTTGTTAAGTCCTATAAGGTTAGGAGGAGGTGTGATAAATGGGTTCAATTTTTTTATTTTTATTTTTTAATTTTTGGGTTCAAATTCTTGTCCTCTCTCATCTATGTTTCCTTGTCCAATTAAATTGGATAGCACTGGATACAACTCTGTGTCTTGCAGAGTCATTATATGTGTTTTATTGTGTTTGGGCAGACAACAATTGAAGAAGAACTAAAAGAGAAGTTATACACACTTACACTTCCCTACAACCTATAGAGAGGCCCATCTATTAATATATAAGGAGGGAATGATATTTATTTGAAAAAAGATGAAAAAAAATCAGCAAAAAAAAGAAGTCAATTCCCGCCCAAAGTGAATAAAATGAGAAAGATTTTTGGCTAAAAATTAAAATTCGAGCGCCATCCAACCAATTTTGAAAATTTAAAAAAAAATATATTAAAAAATCTAAATAAAAAGATTACATGAAGATTTTTTTGGAGATTCCATATTATCTAACTTTCATACATTAGGAATGGGACACTTGTCCTATTTTCATTGGTCCACTATAAATTTTATATGATAAGATAAGTATAACTCAAATTATTGATATTATTTTATTTTAAAAAATAAAATAAAAAATACCAAAATTCGTATTTTTTCATACTCTATAAATAGAGACCACTCTTGATATGTTTTGGAACACAATTAAAATTATTATGTTGGGTTAGGTTGTAGATAAAACAATACCAAACAATGTATTGTAGATAATATTTATTAAATAAATAATAAATAATAAAATAAATGTTATATTATCTTTATTAGGTCACCAACTAAAAAATAAAAAAAAATAGAAAAATAACAAAATCCGCGACTCAGGTCAAATTGTGACCCTAGATCGCCATCTAGCCACAAGGAGGGAGAGAGAAATGAGGTGAGTGAAATGGGGCAAGTGTCCAATTCTTATTGGTCTATAAAATTTTTCTATAATAAGATAATTGTAAATCAAATTATTAATATTAATTTATATGAAAAAAAAAAATAAAAAATTATTTTTCATTCTCTATAATAGAGACCACTCTTGATATATTTTGGAACATAATTGCAATTTCTATCTTTTCACTCTTTTTTCTTAACCGTAACTTATCAATTTTATCATATCTTTTATTTTATCATATCACAACTAAAACAATAACAAAAAAATTATTGTAGATAATATTTAATAAATATATAAATAAATATAAAATAAATATTATGTTGGGTTGAGTTAGGTTGGGTTTGGGATAAAGGACTATTCTACTATGCCTTTTCCAGATATGGGTAGTATTAATTCAAGTGCGAACCGTCTGGTTTTGGATGAACTCAACTATGACCGTAAGGCTCTAGCTATTGAGCATGATGCATTGCTGACACATATGACCGATGAACAGAAGGGTGTTTATTCCAAAATAATGACATATATTCATTCCGGCAGGGGCGGCGTGTTTTTTTGTGTATGGTTATGGTGGAACTGAAAAGACATACTTGTGGAGGACTTTAGCTGCTTGGCTAAGGTTGCACGGTCGAATTGTGCTTTGTGTTGCATCAAGTGGAATAACATCTTTCCTATTGCCGGGCGGACGAACTGCACAATATTCTCGATTTGGCATTCTTATTTCTGTGCATGAAAATTCATCGTGTGAGATCAATCAAGCTAGCCCCTTGCTGAGTTGATTATTCGCTCTTCATTGATCATATGGGATGAGGTCCCAATGATGCATAAACATTATTTTGAAGCTGTTCAAGCATCTTTTAAATAGTAATGGGAGCCCTTGACCCGACAAATCACCATAAACCGTTCGGAGGCAAGACTGTTGTGTTTGGTGGAGACTTTCTACAAATCCTTCCGGTAGTTCTAAAGGGTAGTCGTCAGGAGATTGTTAATGCTGCTATCAACTCTTCTAGCATTTAGGGAGAATGTATTGTGCTTAGGCTTACAAAGAATATGCGTCTTCAGAGCATTGGAGATTCGAATGAACATGACGAGTTTGCCGCTTTTGCTGATTGGATAGCGAGCATTGTAGATGGAACATTGAGGGGTAAAAATGATGGATGTTCTACGATAGACATACCAAATGATCTATTACTAGAGCCATCCGATGATCCAGTAGCAAAAATTGTTGAAAGCACATTTCCGATGTTCAAGAATACAACCGACGATCCAAGTTACTTGAAGGATAGAGCTATACTTGAGCCGACACTCGATATCGTAGAATCTATTAATGAATACATGTCATCGTTAAATTTGACTGAGGGTCGCACGTATTTAAGTTCATACAGTACGTGTAAATCCGACTCCAATACCGACTTTGTGGCACAACTCCATACTCCTGAGTTCTTGAACACCATCAAGTGTTCTATAACGCCGAACCATGAATTGAATTTGAAGGTCGGAACTCCAGTTATGTTGTTGCGGAATATGGATCACTCAATGGGACTCTGCAATGGTACACGATTGGTTGTGACTAAACTCTCCTATCATGTTCTCGAGTGTAAAATTCTTACTGGCGATCATGCATGTGATAAAGTTTTGATACCTCGGATGACAATAACTCCTTCTAATGTTAGAGTACCATTCACATTTCAAAGAAGGCACTTCTCCATTATGGTTTCGTTCGCAATGACTATAAACAAGAGTCAAGGTCAATCATTATCGCATGTTGGCTTATTCTTGAAGAAACCAGTTTTTAGTCATGACCAGTTATATGTCGTTGTCTCTCGTGTTACTAACACAAAGGGTCTGAAAATTTTAATTTGTGGAGAAGAAGGTTTGAAAGAAAATCAAACCAATAATGTTGTGTATAGAGAAGTGTTTAATAATATATGATTTTTGTTTATATTTTGTATTCCTCTATCCTCTTTCTATTGTAATTAAATTATTAAATTATAAAAAAATATTTAAAATAAAGTTTAAAAATAAAAGGTTTGAGGAAATAACTCCGCCGTGCTGCGCACGGTACCATACTAGTTTATTCTCATAACAATGACTAAATTATTACAAAGGCAAAGTTGGTTTCTTTGTTTGTTTTACCAGCAAAGTGTCTTTGCATTTAATTAAAAGCATGTTCCCAATAGTTGTTAAGCATAAAAAAAAAAAAAATGTAGTATTTTAGAGCAATTATTACAAAAACTATCATCAAGATTGGGTATAACTATCATCGACCGCGGCCTGGTATACTTTCTGGACAAAATTGCATATATAGTCATACAATTTTCAAATGCGATATTGAGTATGCAACAAATTTATTAAAAAAATATGACTATTTAACGATTAAGTCCGCCTAACAAAAGACACGTAAAAAACGAAACTAACTGCTATAGCGAACAGAACCTAACAGTTAGGCGATCCGAGGTGTTATACCCTCTAAACAAAATCATCCTTATATTTCTTTTTTTTTTTTTTAATTTTTCTAAACTTGTTTCTTAAGTGATATCTATGCCTAACAAACATTAGGATAATTATATCTTGCTAATAATTTGACTTTTGAGTGTCACTTTCTCATTACCACATTTATAAGCAAATACTTAACAAAGATTCATTGCCTACATATCATGCCAAAAGTCTTTATCCTATCACCATATATATCTACTAATCCATAAAAAATCCATCCATTTTTTTACAAGACCATATAGGCATCATTATTTCCATGTATTCCACCATTTTTACACACACATAGGCTACTCCATTTTTATTTTGTCACGTGCTGAAACTCTTACTCACTATGTTTTTCTTGATATCCCACTTGGTGCAACAGAGATAAGGAAAAAGAGCTCAGATTGTGGCACGATGTCAACCGACACGAAGGAACTTTACGCCACTCGAAAGGCTTCGAATGACGACGAAGATTTCATGCAGAGGCACAGGTTGCAGTTTGCTGATAGCCTCAAGGTACCGTTAAATTGCTTCTTGTTGATGTTTTTTTTTTCTTTTTTCTTTTTTTTTTTTT